ATTTTTAAGAAGACAGTGCTCCATGCAAAAGTAGAGCTTTTTATAATAATATTTTTTTTGTTTAAAATATGATTCCTTCGCTACATAAGAGTTCTCATGTTTCAAAAACGGGAGCCGAGGGCTTGAAGATCAAACGGGACTAAACACCTCAATTCAACTTAATTTTCAATAATTATTTGGATGGTTTCGGCTCTCGTTTTTGAAACATGAGAACTCTTATGTAGCGAAGGAATCCTATTTTTAAACAAAAATATTAAATAATATATATATATATATATATATATATATATATATATATATATATATGTGGATTGAATCTGACAGGATGAAAAATAAGTAGGAAATATATATCAATCTAAAATGTTTCAATTTTATTAAAGCTTTGTTAGAGATTGAAAGAAAACTGACAAAATGACAGAAAACACTAGTATTTTAAGTTATATTTGGGTTAGTTCTCATTGGTCAGATACGTGTCACGTGTATTAAAACCGTGAATAATACTATGTGTATGTTGGTTTGTGAAGATTCTTGTATGTCTAAGCGGGCATCGTATTTGTAACTGTGTGCGTGTTTCTGTCTACTTCGGGTTTTTATCTTCATCTTTGTGCGATCAACCCTCTTTCTTTTCTCGCACTTCTAGTCTGGGGAACTTACTTCCGGATTCGTGTTTTCCAGACCTCGGTAATTTTTTAACTTTAAATAATTAAATACAAAGTCAAACGCTATCTACTGTCTTCCTGATTACTCTTCTATTGTTCTCGCTCCTGAATAATGTTTCTGTTTTCTAATTCTCGCACTCCCAGTAACTCATTCTCTCTTAGTGGCATAACTGACTTGGCTGAATTCGATGAAAAAAAATATTAGAAATAAAAATATAGCATCAAATTCCAATATGATTATCAACTATAACAACGTTTGAAGTAATAATAATAATTATAATTATTAAACTCTCTCTTTATATATATATATATATATATATATATATATATATATAAAGTATATACAAGTAACAAAAAATGTCGAAAAACTTTTTGCCGTTAATAATAATAAAAAAAAACCCAGACGACATACATTTAACGGATGTCAGAATTCGTTGAAAAATACACCCCTACACTCCGTAAAAATAACCTCTTTTTCGAACGTAACTCATAATTGATACAACAATAGTTAATAAAAATGAACACGCTACCGCCCCTGTCTGAATGAGTGGATTTCTCTGTATCCTTGGAAACAGGAAATTATGAATTTATATGTGCGTTTAAAACTCAGTAAATTTAAAAATAAGTTATTCCAATATTCGGTTGAAGATGAAATGGAACTAATACTTTTAATTTAATTATATAATTAAATTTAAAGTTTTTAGCTTCCATTTTTGAAACATGATTATTACTGTGTAGCGAAAAATAACACATTTTAAATCAGTTAATTATATCAGTTAATCAGTTATATATATATATATATATATATATATATATATATATATATATATATAATCTGTTGCTCAATCACCTACTCAAATCGTGGATTCCCCTACCCGTTTCTCTAGCATACCCGAGCAACAGGCTTATCTACTTTATATATTTTTCATCTGCTCTCCTCGCTCTTGCCGAGTTTCGCAACACTGTACTCTTGGAAACTCTGATCACTCTGAAATATTCATTGATATTTCGTTCCAATCATCTGTTAATCAACAACCTCCTATTTATAAAACCTATTTCCGTTACCAGCATGCTGACTGAGACTCATTTCTTCAAGACACCCCCTGGACTCACATTTTTAACCTTCAAATTGTGAATTGTGCCAATGAGGTTTCCTCTTGGCTCAAAGTCAGTATGGATGCTTTCATTTCTTCTCAGAAATGCTAAGTGAAACCTTAATCTTTTCTATTGTTTACACCAGCATGCCTGCCGCTATAGCCGACAGGAACGACTATTTTTGGCTGTGCCAACGAGACAGTTTCCGTTACAAGAGACGCCTATTCGTTGCTATTCGTTATAAATGTAAACGAGTCCTCGAAGGAGATAAGTCTTTGTTTGCTGAGAGAATGAGGCATCGTATTGCATCTAAAAACTTTGACTCTTGTGATTACTGGTGGCTCTCTAATAGTGTATTAAATAAGTGTACGTTTTCTGTTCCCCCTCTCTTCAATCAATTTGAGGTGTTAACATCATCTGCTGATAAAGATGAATATTTTACCCGTAAAATCTCCTTAAACTCTACTCTTGACTCATCTGGATTATCCCTGCCTAACTTCCCACTTAGAACTGAGTATTTGTTGAGTTACATAACATATAACCACTTCTATGGTATCCGCTATCATTTCTAACCTAGATCTCCACAAAGCATGTGGAACCGATGGTATCCCTGCAATAGTCATTGTGCTCCCGAAATGGCACCTGTTCTCTCTAAACTGTATAATAAATGTCTCGCTGTCTCATGTTTTCCTACATGCTGGAAGTCCTCATTTGTTGTTCCAGTTTTTAAAAACTCGGTTGAACTATCCGACCCCTCCAATTATCTGCCTATTAGCCTTCTACCCCTTTTGGGAAAACTCCTATATGCCAGAATCAATGCTGAATTGGTTAAATATCTCAGGGACTTTTTTCAGACAAACAATATGGCTTTCGTTTCGTTTAAATAACCTATTCAGGTTGATATACCGTAAAACAAAGCAAACCAAACCAGATGAAACCTCTGCCTTCTCCATGGTTCGCACCAGCTTGCTTTGCCCCTATAGCCTACTGGAACGACTATTTTTGACTATGCCAACGAGAAAGTTTCCGTCACAACAGACGCCTATTCATTACTGCTCGTTATAGATGTAAACGTGTCCTCGAAGGGGCAAAGTACTTGTTTGCGGAAAGAATGAGGTACCGCATTCCATCTAACAATTTTGGCTCTCGTGAATACTGGCGGCTCTGTAATAGTGTATTAAATAAGAGTAACTTTTCTGTTCCTCATCTCTTCAAAGAAAATGAGGTATTAACATCTTCTGTTGATAACGCTGAGTGTTTCGCCCGTAAATTCTCCTCAAACTCGACTGTTAACTCATCTAGAGTATCCCTGCCTAACTTCCTACCTAGAACTGAGTTTATGTTGAGTGATATACATATAACCCCTCCTATGGTTTCTGCTATCATTTCGAATCTGAATCCCCACAAAGCATGAGGACCTGATGGTATCCCTGTAATAGTCATTAGGAAATGTGCTCCTAAACTGGCTCTTGTTCTCTATAAACTGTATAATAAATGCCTCGCCGCTTTTTGCTTTCCCGCCTGATCGAAGTCCTCATCTGTGAACTGCCCGACCCTTCCAACTATCGGCAGATTAACCTTTTACCTCTTTTTGAGAAACTCCTGAAGGTCCTAATTAATGCTGAATTGGTTGGGCATCTCACATCGCAGGGCCTTTTTTTCAGACAAGTAATATGGCTTTCGTTTCTCCGGGTCAACTGCTGATATACTTACGATAATTGCGGAAAGAGTCTATCAAACTCTAGATGAGAATGGTGAAACTCGGGCGATAGCTTTGGACATCTCGAAAGCTTTCGACAGGGTTCAACATGCAGGCCTTCTCCACAAGCTGAAAAGTTACAGTTTCTCTGGACAGATTTTTGAACCGGTCCAACCTTTCCTACCGAGCCGTGAAATGAAAGTGTTATATTCCGTGCTAATGGAAATATATACTTGAAAAACAAAGTGGATAAAATAAGTAAAAGTTTATTGTAAAAAAACTGTACAATAAGAATAAAGTTAACAGTTATGAAAAAGGTCGTCGCAAGTCAATCTAGTAGTGAGTGCTACTATTGGAAGGTCGGTAGCTCTCGCGTAAGTCTGAGTCATACTCAACAGATCCCAGCTAGTAATATTTACCAAGCTCCCCACGGAGTAGGATGTGGCACTAGGCCGAATTTAATCTGGGGCAAAAATTCCCCGTAAACCCCGCATAAACAGTTTCGGCATAGCCTGGTCCGGGTTCCTCTCTGCCAGAAGGCAGAGAGTTCGACAGCAGCTAAGAACTGAATAACAGATCCCAGCTAGTCCCTGTAGTCCGTTGACTTACATTTACTTATAGGTAGTTACTAACTATAGTGTAGTCACTCATTGGAGTGACAGGTTATTCCATTACATCAGAAAGTAACCCTGAACGGCCACTCTTCCAGTTCCTTTCATACGTGTCCCCATTTTTGTTCCTACTTTGTTTCTGATTTTCATTAACGACCTTCCCGATGGAATCAGCTGATGATGACACAACCATTTACTACTGTCTCAATAGCAAGTCTGATCATTTTGATAAGGTCAAAATGGCAGCTGATATTCAAAACGACATTCAATCTGTTGCCAACTGAGGCAAAGGATGGCTTTTTAATTTTAAGGCCTCCAAAAGTAAACTGCTCTCTATTAATCATCTGAGAGAACCTGCCCTGCCTTCAATCAGAATGGCTGATGCTGACCTCTAGGAAAGTAAATCGTTGAGCCTTCTTGGCTAGCGTTCTCGGCTGACATGAAGTGGAAAGACTATATTGAATCCATTGCTAGGTCTGCTGCTAGGAAAGTTGCTTCACTGTGTCGTGTAAGACAATTTTTCTCTCATGAATCTATCTTGCATATCTATAAGTCTACCATCCGTCCATGCTTAGAACATTGTTTCTGATTTTCATTAACGACCTTCCCGATGGAATCAGCTGATGATGACACAACCATTTACTACTGTCTCGATAGCAAGACATAAGCTCATTACCGAGAAGACGAGAAACAGTAAGCGATAAAGAAAAATTAATCATTTTAACATTGTTCTTTTGGGAGTAAATTACTTAACTCAACCCAGACCTAGCAAACCTTTTAATAGATAGATAGATAGATAGATAGATAGATAGATAGATAGATAGATAGATAGATAGATAGATAGATTTTATATATATAGACTAAAAATAGCCCAGTCTCAGTGACCACTGACACGCTGCCGTTGGTATCCGCCAAACTGCAATCCTAAGTGCAAAGAGGGAGGTGCTGTCGCAGAGTTGGAATCTCCGGGACTAGGCATCCATCATAATTTTTAGAGGAAGAGAGAAAAGATGCTACACTTTTCATTTCCTGGCCTCGTCCCAAAATGGAATGATATGGCACAATATCTCCGCAACCAACGTCGCACTGGCGTTGATATTCCACCGACCCCACCCTCTTAGGCACAATGAGGTAGATGCTGCCGCAGGCTGGATCCTCGAGAACAGGCATCCATCTTTTGTTCCAAGACAGAAACACAATTGAAAGATAAAAGGCAGTTTGTCCGTCCGAAGGCAGTGGCACAAGGTCAGTTTAATGTGGGGAAATCGAGTTTGTGCTGCCGGGCGTGGTCCCAAAATAGCCCAGACCCTGTAACCGTCGGTTACCCTCGCATCGGTTTTACTACCGCTGGACCCTGCTTTTTAGTGCAATGAGGGAGTTAGTGCCGCGGGCAGCTATTCCTCAGAAGCGGGCAGCTGTTTCCCGGAAGCGGGCAGCTGTTCCCCTGAAGAGAGCACCTCACAATAATATTTTTAGTTGCGCTTTGTCTGTAGATAGATATACAACTGAGAGATTGATGTAATAGAATAACCAGTCACCCCCATGAATGATTACACTAAAGGTAGTAAGTACCTTTCAAGTCAACTGTCTACGAGAGACTTGAGGAAGAATGAGTGAGGGAAGACGCAAGCACATCCGACCTTACAACTAGTGGCACTCACTACTAGATTGACCTGTGTGTATAACTGTACCATATTTCATATTATACTGGTTGTGTACAATAAACCTTTCTTCTATTATCCACCTGGCGTTAAGTATTTATTCCCTTAGCACGTAATATAATAGAAATATAATGTAGCTTATCCGCCCGAAGGTGGATACTACAATTTTGATTCAAGCCCGAATGCCGGAAACACGTAAAAAAAAGTAAAAGATCCTGTCATTTAAACAAAACTAATTTCATCATTTTGCATCTTATTGTTGTAGCGTGTACATGGTTACAAATTTATTTTTGTCATTCTTTTATTCTTTATTTCATTTTTGTCTTATTGTCGGAGTTAGCTCCTCATTAATTCCCTAATTGTCACTAGGGGTCATTCTCCTTATACTATAAATACTGGGCGACTTCTCGCCTCGTTCTCTTTTTCATTTCTTCATTTCAGCGACTACAATGTAAGCTCTCTTAGAAGATCCGCATCTTCCCATTTATGGGAGACGCCATGAACATTATACACGCATACACGTACGTACGAACATTCACCAAAGAACAGACGCAAATGTCCACACACATATACAAATGTTATTGTCTATATCCATTGTAAAATTGCGTTGTTTAATACATATATTTGTTTTTTATATATATATATATATATATATATATATATATATATATATATATATATATATATATATACTAGTAGTAGAGCCCGGCGTTGCCGGGGATATAACAGTAAGAGATAGATCAAGTATCCACCATCATAAAAACTGAAAAATAAAATTGACTAAGATTATTGTTTAAGGTTGACGGACACGCATGTCTTAATTTTTTTTTTTTTACGAATTGGTCAAACCCAAACTCAAACAAAACATTGTTTTCAATCGTTATGAGTCTCTACCGATTGAATAGAATTTTTATTATAAATAATTGTCTTGTAAATGGAATTTTTAAAGCATTCGTTAAAAATAAAGAAAAAAGTGTGCAAGAGAATAAGAAACACTACCTGCCAAAAAAAAAAAAGTGAAGTTTTGTTTTATCGGCTGAAAAATATAGGAAATCCGCTCCTATATTTAAAGGAACCCACACACAAACAATCTGATGAGTTGTCCCCTTCCATTTTCACGATGTCTCTTAATCGTGTTTTCAAATTGATTTTGTGCAAAAACAATTATATTTTTCCCATTTTTGGCGCTGTTAGAACCACCACAAGGTAATCTTATGTAGTCCTGTGAAGTTTTGTTGAAATCGGTTGAAAAATGTAGGAAATCCGATTCAATATATAAACGTTACAGACACACACACACATACACACATACACACACACACACACACACACAATCTGCGTTTTATAATAAGTAAGATATATCGATCTTGTTTGTCTTCTTTACATCTTCGGTTGGACAAATTAAGTCCGCCATCTTCTTCTTGTTGGACCTTCTTATAGCAGGCAATAAAAACACACGTATTTCTAACCCAACAACACGCAAACCCACGCGGTCCTCTACATTATTTCTTTCTTCATTATTGATTAAGTAGGATTTAGTATTGTTGAAGTTATCGCTAACGTTTTTTTTGTCGAGATTTACAAGCTCTACATTTCGTTCAATTTAGCAAACCAATCGATGAAATATGAAGAAGCTGATTTGTTTAAAAAAATACTTTGACAAAAACCCTACTTCGTGGTTTAATAATTTCTTTAATTTAATTTAATTTTAAATGACTTCATAGTAAATAATATTTTTAAGAAAATTTCTTTTTTTCCTTTTTAACAGCTAAAAATAAATTCTTACTCTTGAGCATGCAACATACAACTGATGTTAAGATCATACATCAATGCTTACGGCGGATCCATGAATTATATACGTTTAGAAGAGTCTCAAGATTATTCATGCCAATTTATATTCAATTAAAGCTATTTTTTCATGATATAAGCGTCTTTTACTAAACTAGAATTTTTTTGCAACGTGCTGACGAGTGTTGAAATTCTCACAGTATTTACTATTGTTGAAGTTATCGTTAACATTTTTGTCAGGATTTACAAACTCTACGTTTCGTTCAATTTCGCAAACCAATCGATGAAATATGAATAAGCTGATTTGTTTGGAAAAAATAATTTGACAAAAACACTGCTTCGCGCTTTAATAATTTAATTTAATTTTATAGGACTTCATGGTAAAAAAATATTTTTTAAGAAAATTTCTTATTTTCTTTTTTAACAGCGAAGAATAAATTCTTAGGATTTCTTACTCTTGAGTATGCAATATACAACTGGCCATGCATAAATATTTCTTTCTGGAGCCAAATTCCAACTTTTTGAAGCGTTTTGCCTTGTGATTTGTTTATAGTTCTTGCAAACGCAGGGCGAATTGGAAACTGGATTATTGTATATAAAAATTTAGAGTAAATATATGCAAAAAACAATATTGCATTTTTATTTAATAAGTATAATCATTAAATAGTTTTTTAAATAGTCAGAGTATTTTGTATATTAAATGATAAAACTTTTAATTTTTCCAAAGAAATTAATGAAAATTTATTGTACTATGCTGCACATACGACTATTTGTACTCCTATATCTGTTTGCACTTCTCCCCGCTAAATTTGGTTCCGATTGGTCAATGTTTGGCTATCTTAGAGAGTGTGACGAACGGAACAGTCGGACGGACTAACAGAAGTTACTGAATTTTATATGTAGATTTTACTTTCATTTTTATTCCCTGGTTAAGCTTTTCTAAATATATCTTTTTGTTTTGGTTACCGTATAGGTTAACGAGGAGCCTGGTACCATCCAAGCTATCGTCAATGCATCTGAATTCCCCCTGAGTATCATAGTTGTCGGAGTTGGTGACGGACCGTGGGATGTTATGGAGGAGTTCGATGACTGTCTGCCCCGACGTCGATTTGACAATTTCCAGTTTGTTGATTACCACGCAGTGACAGGAAAATCGAAACATGCAGACGCCATGTTTGCCTTGCACGCTCTTATGGAAATACCTGATCAATATAAAACGATCAAGAACCTTGGTTATCTTAAAGAGACTGAAGACAAACACACAGGAATCCTCGGTAGGGACTATAAATTCGAATCGAAAGTGTAAGCCTCTCACGACACTTCTTCAAACGAAGAAGCTGTGTCCTTTTCCACTGCATCCCGGAGACGACGGGGGTGATAACAACTCAATCTGTATTGGGTTTTGTGAAAAAAAATAAAAAACAGAAAAAAAGAAAAACGTAAAAACAGTAAAGAAAATAACATAGCCAAGAGAATACCCAGAATGCATCTCGATGTTTCGCAGAAGAGATGAAGACAAATGGAGTGAATGCTATTTTCTTTTGTTTTCTTTTTTATTTCATTATTCTCTTTTGTTTATTTTTTTCATCTTATTTTTTTAGAAATAAATTTCATCAGATTTTTGACTGAAAAAAAATTCTTTAAAATAATTTTAGAAAATTTATTTCCGAAAAATAAATTTCTAAAAAATGAAAATAGTTAAATTAAATATTTTTTTTAATTTATGTGAAGAAAGTATTTTATAGTTACATTTTTTTATTTACTTAGTTAAAAAAAAATATTTTTATGAAAAAGAAATATGAAAATTTGTTATTGAAATAATTGAGAAGCAGAATTTCTCCGATAACATTCATATAGTTTGCGTTTTTTGTTTTTTGTTTTTTGCTGTTGTTGTTTTGTTTTTTTGTTTTTTTTTGTTTGTTTTTTTTGGTAGGGCTGTTTTTTTTTCATTTTTGACAATTTCTTTTTTATTTTAACTATATTTTTTCATTTTGACAATTATTTTTTTCATTTTGACTATTATTTTTTTCATTTTGACTACATTTTTTTCATTTTGTCTATATTTTCAGTTTAATGTTCGTGTTATTTGCATCTATGTTGCATTCACTCTGGAAAGAGAAGATTTAAATACTCCATTTTAAATTTGGGGTCCTCCTCTTCGAGGAGAGCGAGAGAGGAGACATTTGTGGTTTTTTTTTTCTTTTTAAAATTCTGTAAATATTACTTGGCAGTAAAAATCGAAGTTGATCGCCTTTTTTTTTTTTTTTTCAAAAGGAAAATATCAGCCGACCAACAAAATTGTGAATAAAATTTCCAACGGGAATTATGTTCAACAAAAACAAAATGAGGTACTTATAATTTAATGAATGAGAAAAATGTTGAAATTGCCTCTGTTTTTAAGAGGTGGCGTCGACAAGACTCAGGATGTCATTATTTTGGGATGATAATGATATCCGTTATCTAAGGTGACTTGTTCGAAGTTTATCC